TAGTATTCATCACAGCACCTCAGCCGAGCCTACAACCCAAAATACAGTCTGTGGTGGAGGAATTCCACCTCTCTTGTTGACTTCCTTCCTTAAAAACTGGACAGGCTGTGTAGTTTGAGCTATCCGGGGTGGGAGGAAATCTGGGGGCTTGGAGTCCTGTTCCCGATACACCACAGGGGATTCACAGTAAAAAAGGCTTCAGTGGTAGACTTGGCAATTAAACTCCTGCGATTCAGGAGAAGCAGTAAGGCCAAACAAGGACAGAGGCGACTGCGAGGCGATAAAGGCCACATTCACACAATGTATTTAAAGATTTCTGGGAGCATCTTAAGGATGCTGAGAGTTGTTAGGAGACACCTATCCCCCCCCTCCCAGAGCTACAATTCCCAGACTTCCCTGGGGAGAAGGATTTAATGCCAAGCCACTCTGGGAATTGTAGCTCTGGGATGGGGAACCAGCATTTCCTTGCCACTTCCGGCACCCTCAACAAACTGCAGGTCCCAGAATTCTTGGGGGGAAGCCATGGCCCATGGCAGTTTAAAATGGTATCATTGTGTTTTAAACGTATGGTATGCATGTGGCCAACGTCAGTGGGTGGTGAGGAGGAAGTGGAGGCCCTCCAGCAACAGAAAGGGTGTTATTTATATATCATTATTTTAATGTATTTTTAATTTTTGTTGGAAGACGCCCAGAGTGGCTGGGGAGACCCAGCCAGATGGGTGGGGTACAAATAATAAATTATTATTATTATTATTACAGTCATACCTCAGGTTACAGACACTTCAGGTTGCGTGATTTTGGGTTACGCATCGCGCCGAACCTGGAAGTACCGGAAGTGCACAGACGCGGCGCTGCAGGTTGCGAACATGCTTCCTGCATGGATCACATTTGCAACCCAAACGTCCACTGTATTATTATTATTAAATTTGCCACCCTCTTTATCTCACCCAGAGCAACCCAAAGCAACTGCCAACCAAAATGTTACCCTGAGCCCAATACATTTGACTCCTGAAAAGGCACATCCCTGTGATGTCGTCCCCTTGCTGGTGGTTGTTATTCCATTTGCTGCCTGAAACAGCTGCCTCACTTTACCTCAGATCCGTCCACGCAACTCCGCGACCCGCCAAGCTGAATGGATTGTGGGCTCCATTTGTCTTGGTGGGTCACGCAGGTTGTATGTATGCCGGTTTGCTCTACTGCTAAGGCAGCAAGAGGCCTGTTAGCACTTGTCTAGAAAACAGCTGGTGGTACAAGGAATAATAATAATAAGGATAATAATTTGTACCCCGCCCATCTGGCTGGGTTTCCCCAGCCACTCTGGGCAGCTTCCAACAAAGATTAAGAATACATTAAAAAGAAAGAACCTCAGACTGTCACGGGTTGTGCATGTCTGCAAGAGTTTGTGCCTTGCATGTGCTCATTTTGTTAGGCCTCGGTTTCTTGTTCAGTTCAGCATGTGCCTGGCAGGGTGAATTCACCTCTTTGACTCACAACCCTGCTAACCCTTCTCTCTCGAAGAACCCTTACGAAATCCCTCCAGTCAACAGAGTCACAAGAAGAGAAGTCTCCTCCGTCCCAGCGACCCAGACGTTTGCAACAGGACACCCACGATTTCCTGCATCCTAGTAGCAAAGAATGACGTTTTCCCCAGTAAAACCCCACCTCGCCTCTAAAAGTTCTGTCTAAAGTTGTGCACAAAATGGCCTCTCAAAATTCTGTACTCTTTATTTGTGGGCAAAGAAACCGTGGGGAGAAACATTCACAGCCAGCCCTACCGTTGGACAGATTGAGTTGGCTGCCTCAGGTGGCAAATGCGGGGGGTGGGGAGCGGTGGCCAGATGATAGTGGACTGCATCATGTGATCTGCAGCCTCCTAAGCTCAGGTGCTCTGGAAGGCACTGCTCTGTTGACAATGGCGAAACAAGATTCAGGGCAACATCTGGACACCACTGCATTGAAAGGCTTCAGTGAGCCAGACACTATCTTGTTGTTGTTGTTGTTTAGTCGTTTAGTCGTGTCCGACTCTTCATGACCCCATGGACCAGAGCATGCCAGGTACTCCTGTCTTCCACTGCCTCCCGCAGTTTGATCAAACCCATGCTGGTAGCTTCGAGAACACTGTCCAACCATCTCGCCCTCTGTCGTCCCCTTCTCCTTGTGCCCTCCATCTTTCCCAACATCAGGGTCTTTTCCAGGGAGTCTTCTCTTCTCATGAGGTGGCCAAAGTATTGGAGCCTCAGCTTCAGGATCTTGCTTTTCACCCAAAGCAGCCAAGGCTACATTTGCACCATATATCTAAAGATCTTTTATACAAGTTTAAGTCTCACGGATCTCCCCCAAGGCATACTGGGAACTGTAGTTTGTTAAGGGTACTGAGAGTTGTTAGGCGATCCGTATCCTCGCCCAAGAGCTACAATTCCCAAAGCGGCTTAACAAGCAATCCCTCTTCCCAGAGAGCTCTGGGAATGGCAGCTCTGGGAGTGGAATAGCAGTCGTCGCGCTGTGGGTTAAACCACAGAGCCTAGGACTTGCCGATCAGAAGGTCGGCGGTTCGAATCCCCGCGACGGGGTGAGCTCCCATTGCTCGGTCCCTGCTCCTGCCAACCTAGCAGTTTGAAAGCACGTCAAAGTGCAAGTAGATAAATAGGTACTGCTCTGGCGGGAAGGTAAACGGCGTTTCCGTGCGCTGCTCTGGTTCGCCAGAAGCGGCTTAGTCATGCTGGCCACATGACCCGGAAGCTGTTCGCCGGCTCCCTCGGCCAGTAAAGCGAGATGAGCGCCGCAACCCCAGAGTCGGCCATGACTGGACCTAACGGTCAGGGGTCCCTTTACCTTTACCAACTCTCAGCACCTTTAACAAACAACAGTTCCCAGGATGCTCTGAAGAAAGCCATGCCTGTTGAAGTGGCGTAAGAGTGCATTGGTTGATAAATTTCAACCCCTTTCTAGTTTTGTCAGGTGTGCAATAACATACCCTTTCCTGTTTCATATGGGATTAAAACAGAGCAACAAACACCTCTTGGTTCCTTTCCCATAACATGAAATATTATTCTTGCTGCCCACTAATATGAATTACCGTAGGTAGTTTCAATAAATGGCGTGGATAAACCTCTTTGGTTTATAACCCTATGAGCAATTCTGGGAGTAAGCCCCATTGAACTCAATGAGACGTACACCTGTGTAGACAAACATTGGCAAGAGTACCTGCATTTCATGCAGGAGTTCCGAAGTTCAACACCTGGCATCTACAGGTACAGCTGAAAGCGACCTCTGCCTGAAATCATGAGTAGCCGTTGCCATTACTGAGCTAGCTGGACCAAGGGTCTAACACAGCATGAGGCAGCTTATTCTGTTCCTATGAGTTGACTTGATATCCCTTGGTATTACTTGAGGTGTCTGTCTATTGACAGATCTGGCAATTGCGACCTGTCACGTAGGGGTGTGGACAATCCCAGATGAATTTTCCAAGGGTCCAAAATCTGACAAAATCACCGTGTACAGTTGACTGCGTCTCTTACTGTCTGGATTCACTTGTGTGTGCCTGAAAAAGTGGTAGAAATGTGTACAGTGGTACCTCGGGTTACATACGCTTCAGGTTACATACGCTTCAGCTTACAGACTCCACTAACCCAGAAATAGTGCTTCGGGTTAAGAACTTTGCTTCAGGATGAGAACAGAAATCGTGCTCCGGTGGCATGGCAGCAGCAGGAGGCACCATTAACTAAAGTGGTACCTCAGGTTAAGAACAGTTTCAGGTTAAGAACGGACCTCCGGAACGAATTAAGTACCGTATTTTTTGCTCTATAAGACTCACTTTTTCCCTCCTAAAAAGTAAGGGAAAATGTGTGTGCGTCTTATGAAGTGAATGCAGGCTGCGCAGCTATCCCAGAAGCCAGAACAGCAAGAGGGATCGCTGCTTGCGCTGCGCAGCGATCCCTCTTGCTGTTCTGGCTTCTGAGATTCAGAATATTTTTTTTCTTGTTTTCTTCCTCCAAAAACTAGATGCGTCTTGTGGTCTGGTGCGTCTTATAGAGCGAAAAACACGGTACTTAACCCGAGGTACCACTGTACATTTGTTTTCAGACACTCATAAGCTACACATTCAGCAACAGACTTGAACAGTCTCAACAGCAAAACAGTTGAATGGCAGTAGAGGGGAGGAGAGATGGGGCAAATGTCTCCCCCATCTTCTTCCCTGTTACTTCTGCTGGGGTACTCCAATATGAGTTTGTCACCACTGGGAACAGAAGCGTTAAGGGAGAAGAAATCGGTGGATAAGAGTTTTGCATGGCCTCCTGCTGCTGCTTCTCCCCTCTGAATCACCCTTTCCCCAACTCTGTCCCACTGTTTTATGTTAACTCAGTCTGATTTCAATCGCCCATTTTGGGCCTCACTGTAGCATAAACACATTTTAATCAATGCCATCTTTTCCCCACCACCCAAGAACACAATTCATTTCGTGCAAGAAAACAATTTTCAGTGAAGCTTGTCCAAATACAGTGGTACCTCAGGTTAAGCACTCAATTCGTTTCAGAGGTCCGTTCTTAACCTGAAACTGTTCTTAACCTGAAGCACCACTTTAGCTAATGGGGCCTCCTGCTGCTGCTGCGCCACCGGAGCACGATTTCTGTTCTCATCCTGAAGCAAAGTTTTTATGCTGAGGTACTATTTCTGGGTTAGTGGAGTCTGTAACCTGAAGCGTATGTAACCCGAGGTACCACTGTAGCTGCAAAAAAATGGGAGAAAGATGGCCATGGGAAATGTGTGAGAGCCCCTCTCCACGTTCTTCAGGCAGAGAGGAAAAAGAATTATTTAACAACTTCTATTCTGCCTGATGGGGAGACTTGTGTCAGTCAAAAGTTCACATACTTGATGCAATAAAAAAACATGCTTTAACTACTTTGTTTTCCTCTCTCTCTCTCTCTCTCTCTCTCTTTCTCTCTCTCTCTTTCTCTGGTGAGTTCAGGGTTAACACTTTCCCTAGCAGTGTGTGTGTGTGTGTTAAACTTTGTCCTCGATGCCACTTTGGCAAAATTTTGTGACTACTGCTGCTGCTGACTCTGCCAGTCCCGCCTCCCTCCCCCCCTTTCTTTCCTACCAGCTGAGCTGGGTATTTAAGTCTGCACATAGGGTCTGGCTAAACACTTTCCAGACTCCAGAGGAAGAGAAGGTAAAAGAAGGTGAGAGCATAGCAGGATAACTGGCAACTTTGCACAAGCTTTTCTTGTTTTGAAGGTGTGTGGGGTTTGTGGGTTCTAATGTGCATTGTGGACTGGGACCAAGAGACCAAGGGAAAAGAGCTGTTTTCGATTTAAGGACATTTGGAGAAAAATCTGTTAATGTAGGGGGGGTTGTGTTTTTTTAATGGTATGGCATTCGGTGGGGTCTCCCTTTCAGGACTGAGCAGATACAGTCTCATCGTTGGCTGGTCTGCGATTAATCCTGTGTGTGTCTCTTAAAGATTCCTGCTGGTGGAGGAAAATACCCACACCCACCCTCGAGTCACTCCATTACCTAATTTTGTCCCTTTTTGTAATGTCTCCGTTTCTCAGAAGGGTCCAGAAAAGTCGGTGATCATGAAATTCCTTGCCCTGTTTTTCACAGCCGTCCTGCTGGGAGGTGAGTGGTGGAATTGGAAGAGGTGGTTTGTCTTGAATAAAATCGGACGCACAGAACGAGCTAAGCACCCTTCGTCCCCTCTGTCCCAATGCTCCTTAAAGGCTAGTTCAAGTGCAGCACAGACTTCTATCCTCCGTGGGTGTGGAACTTCCACAAATGGTGGCAGTATACCTTGGTGAAGGGGGACAGACTGCAGCTGCGCTTGTGAGCTCTTCAGAAGCAACTGTCAATGACACTAAGAACAGAGGGACCTTTGGTCCAACCCAGCAAAGCAGCTCTTAGTTTTATGCCATGGTTTGTTGGGATAATATCGCTTCTTCACAAGTTGTGTGTGGCATGAGCTAATGTAAAGAGGGAAAGAGGGATGAAGGTAGATTAGACCCATCAGAACATCAGGGTTGCATTGTGGGGAGCGGCCAGAAATCTGAGCAAGCTTGACTTTTGTGCTTTAAAATTATGGGGATGTTGGCCACATGGGCTTTAAAACTCTGTCCTGCTCACTGTGCAATTGATGCTGCTTTATAAAAAAAATTGGACACTTGTCCATCTAGCTCAGGGCTGTCTGCACTGGCTGGTAGCAGTGCCGGATTTACGTATAAGCTAAACAAGCTATAGCTTAGGGCCCTACTCTCTTGGGGCCCCCAAAAAAATTAAAGGAAAAAAACTGGATGTTCATTTCCAAAATATAAGATAAAAAACAAATTAAATAAAACCAACATACAGCAACAGTGTTTTGTGTTGTGTAGGCTCCTAGGATGTAAGTAATGGGCCCCACCTGCTAGCCTGCTCCCTAAAATATCACTGGTTTGCTCATTTCTATATATAGGGTGCCTACATTCTGCATGTGCAAATGGCTTTAGATACCTGTTAGGTCCAGAAATTACCATATAGCATATATTCAACACAAAAAGCAGCGACAATCTGTTGTTGACAAAGGACAGCTGGACATATAAAGGGCCCCATTACCTTTAGTAGCTGAGGTCCTCATCAAACCTAAATCCGGCCCTGGCTGGTAGCATCTCTCAGGGGTACAGAACGGTTCACTTGTGTAACTGTGTAATGTGTAATATGTAATAAAGGAAGGGACCTATTGCTGATTGTGGAAGGAGGGAGCTGTAGAGTCCTTTGCCTCCTCTCATTGCTTGGCAGCGCGGTGTAGTGGTTAGAGCATGAGACTAAAACTTGGGGGAGAGCCAGGTTTAAATTCCTGCTCAGAGAGGGTTGACTCTGAGTCAGCCGGCCTTGCCTACCTTGCAGGATTGTTTGGAGGGTAAAGAGGGGAGTTCTCAGAAGGCCGGGCACGATAAACCTGCAAACAAATGGGAAGAAAATGCATCCTAAGGGGAAAGGTTGGGGTGGGCTTGGCTCCCCAGAAGGGAAGGCTCTGTGGGGGTCTGGACTGACCACCCTAGGCTGAAGTAGGTCGCTGTTTGCCTATTCCGGCATGCAGGTGCCTCGTCAAGGTTAGTTTAGGACTTGTGTTTAACAACCGCAACCTTTGGCCCCATCAATGGGTCACCCTATCTAGGAATGCTGAGTTGTGAAAGTAACATCAGCCCTAGGAGCCGCTGGGATTAAGTAAGGACGTTTGTGCCATCAATTGATGACACAAGGGAAGGAGGTGTAATGGCACTTCCATCTGGGCTTGCGAAATGACCGGCATTTTGAACCAAAGCACTGGGCAGTCACAAACTACACGCTCAAGCCCTTCCACCCCATTCCAGTCGCCGAGACACTAGCTAGCGATGGGAAGAGGCGACAAGATGGCGGCACTTCCCCCCTGCAACAGGAAGTAACTTTTTAATTGGGGATATGTCTCCAACAAAGTTATATTCAGAGGAGGCCCATTGAAATCAATGGACACATGCCTATTGTTTTTAAGTGGGTCTCCTCTGAGCAGGACTACGCTGCATAAATCCCTTCATGTTTTGCCTCCTTGCCATCACTCGCAGGAGTGTGGCTTTGCTGATTCCAAGGGCCTCACTTTGTAAGTGGCTTGTGAAGGGGCCATTAGAATGTTGTTCTCTATATGATCCCAAAAACTGTTTGAGCCATTTTCTCCTCTCTCAGAATGACTGGCTTAGGTGGGTAAAAAAGATAAGAGCAAAGCTGAATAGATTATTGTACCCCAGACAGGGGGCACAAGAAACAAAGCCCCATCTTATTGCTATTAGTGCAAATCACATTTTTTACATGTGAACACGTGTCGAGGTCCATCAGGCATTGATGGAACAGACTGAAATGTTTATTATTCAAGGTTGTAAAGAGATAAGCAGACTCAGGAACGCATATTGCCATGGCGTGGAGAGGCTGGTGTGAGGCCATTGCAGGAAGAAGGGGGCAAGCAAGCCCATATAAGGTCAAGCCCATATAAGGACATAGAAAGTTGCCATAACTTTCGGTTTACAAAAGATCATGTGGTATTCTATTCTGCAAATCTATATAAAGGGGGCACACCCTGACTAGGTGTGCAGATTGTAAACTTATTGCTCTGTACCTTTGTTTTGCATATGCATTTCAAATAAAAAATCCTGTTAATAACCTGCAAGGACGTTTTGCCCTTTTGTGTGAATCTGTGCTCCAGGGACCCACGAGCAGATATGTGTGGTCCTTCACTTGCAACCTGGTGACATATTGACAGGCATCCCTCATTCAGCTTGGGGGGACGTGAGTTTGGCCTGTTTCTAGATCCTTGAATGTTTTCCTCCTTTCCCTAATCCATGCAGGCTCCTTGGCCAACCCTGTCCCGGAAGAAGGGACAAAATCCAAATGGGAGGAGACGGTGGATGTCTTCAGGGATGTAGTGACCAGGATTGGGGATGCAGCTGATGATGCCACTGCTCAAATCAAGAGTTCGCAGCTCAGCAAGGAACTGGAGTGAGTGATTTTGCTTCTTCCTTTTAAGTGGGTACAGGCGCTAGGTGGGGTTTTTTTTATGACACATGCTCAACTGGAGTTTTCACAGCCCAAGTGCATACTCCAAAAAGTCCAAGCTCACATTGCTCTTAAATCTCATAGAATGACATAGATCTTAAGATGGGTGATATCTGATGATTAGAACTGAAACATATTTTGGGGAGTGGGGTGGAAGTGAAGCTGTGTACCTTTACAGCACATTCAAAGCATGTTTCCTCACACACACACCCCCAAAGAATTCTGGGCACTGTAGTTTGATAAGTGCTCTTGGGAACTGTAACTGTGAGGGGTAAACTACTGTTCCCATAATTCTCTGAGGGAAAGAATGCATTTTGAATGTGCTTTAAAGGTATAGTATGTACACAGCCCATATCACACTTACATGGCAGGAATCCCAATCGGAATTGTACAATTTCTGAAGTTAAAAAAACCCTGGATTTTAGAATCTTCTCTTTTTGTTTGTTTGGACATCAGCCCTTGGAATTTTCAAATTTGTCAGGTCCTTTGCAAAACGTTGCTTCAGTTCTTGCATCCCTCATTTGTTCTGGAACCAACAGAGCTTTGAAATTTACTGGGGCCTGGCATTAGAGACTGGCGTTGTCAGATTGGTTCACACCCTGAAATGGCCACGATATCTTCCAGAGTGGTTCCTCATTACCTCCAGGCTCCTGCTGAAGGATGATTTAGGCTGTGCACACATTGCCAGCTTGAAACACAATTGGATGTTCTTTTCCTCCATAATAATAATAATTTATTATTTATACCCCGTCCATGTGTTTTCCCAGCCACTCTGGGCGGCTTCCAACAAAAGATTAAAAATACATTAAAACATCAGTCATTAAAAACTTCCCTAAAAGGGATGCCTTCAGATGTCTTCTAAACGTTGGATAGTGGTTTATTTCTTTGACATCTGGTGGGAGGCCGTTCCACAGGGCGGGTGCCACTACTGAGAAGGCCCTCTGCCTGGTTCCCTGTAACTTTGCTTCTCTCAATGAGGGAACCTTCAGAAGGCCCTCAGAGCTGGACCTCCATGTCCGGGCAGAACGATGGGGGTGGAGACGCTCCTTCAGGTATACTGGGCTGAGGCTGTTTAGGGCTTTAAAGGTCAGCACCAATACTCTGAATTGTGCTGGTTTGCAGGGGGAAAATGCACCAAGACACAGTATTCCGTAAGAAACAACAGGATAGATATGGATTGTGGATAATCATCATGTAAACACTGCTTTTTAAACCAGCACTGGGGTCACACTGGATGCAGAGTAAACAAGAGTATGTACCCAGCGTTAGTCAGCTTAATTTGGTGAGCTTTTATCTGAGTAATAGTTGTTTGGAAGAAGAGTAGCATAAATCCCAGAACAGGTCCACTTTCTCTGCGGTGCTGACTGTGGAAGATGTAAGTCACAAGCCGATGTGAAAGAGTGTAGCCAGGATAGACAGGGTTGGATTAACCATTAAGCAAAATAAGCACATCCTTAGGGCATCAATGGAAGGGGGAGGGTACCACAGAAATTTCCCTTTGCCAGATTTACCATATAGACCAGGGATGTCCACAAAAACTGACTCCTGCTCCACCCCCTCGTCCCACCCTCCATTGTTGTTTGATCTCTGGAAGGGAAGATGGAGCTTTCTCTGTGCCGCTGTTTTCATCTGTAGCGATCTTTTTGTGAGTGACCTTTGTCCCATGCCTTTAGCCACCCCAAAAACAGAAGTCCCCCCCAAAACAGCTTTTTTTAACTCCTAAGAAACGGGGTTTTCTCCTCCTTAAAGCTCAACCACTTTGAGCTGAACCCCCGAAAAACAGGTGTGTGTGTGTTAGATCACTGCCAGTTTTTAATTCTGAAAGTAGATCGCAGTCTCTTGAGAGTTGGCCACCCCTGATATAGACCATATGGTGCAGCTGAACGAAAGAAACATTATTCATATACGAATATAGGAAAATAAACATAATTTTCCATCTTACTGTAGGTTTTGTTTCATTTCAAAAAAAGAAAGTTTTATTTCACACTTTATTACTGCTGATATTTTTAATTAGATATCTACGGGGATACCGAAATCTTTTAAGCGCTTAGGGTCTCCAAAGGTCTGAATCCTGCCCTGAGGATAGAGGAAGCGGGAGACATTAAAGGGGGAAGCTAATGGCTGATGATTTAAATGTGTTGCTTTGTTGTTTCCTGGAAGCTCTAATAGCTAGATTTTCCAACCACAAACACTTGGTTGGCACTTGTCAGTCGCAGGGACTGAAGCTCAGACTGGCTGAGTGGTTGACAGCTTTTTGTTCATGGCTCAAACAGAGTCTGGTGACAGACGACCATTTTATCTCACATGTAAGTCAAATCTGACTTGGAGCCTTCTATTTAAGGCTCTCTTATAGCACTTTAACAGTCACAGAGAATCCTGGGAACTGTAGTTTGTAAAAGTGCTATGACTGTGACTTCAATGCAACCATAATAATAATAATAATTCCTTATTTAAATGCCGTCCACCTGACTGGGTTTCCCCAGCCGCTCTGGGCGGCTCCCAACAGAATATTTAAAACACAATAAAACATCAAACATTAAAAACTTCCCTAAGCAGGGCTGCCTTCAGATGTCTTCTAAAAGTCCATTAGTTGTTTATTTCCTTGACATCTGCTGGGAGGGCGTTCCACAGGGAAGGTGCCACCACCGAGAAGGCCCTCTGCCTGGTTCCCTGTAACCTCACTTCTTGCAGTGAGGGAACCACCAGGAGGCCCTTGGAGCTGGACCTCAATGTCCGGGCTGAACGATGGGGGTGGAGACACCCCTTCAGGTATATAAGGTCAATGAGGCTGTTTAGGGCTTTAATCAGCACCAACACTTTGAATTGAGCTTGGAAATGTACTGGGAGACGATGTAAATCCTCTTAAGACTGGTGTTATACGTTCCTGGCCACCACTCCCAGTCACTAGTCCGGCAGCCGTGTTCTGGATTAATTGGTAATTTCCAAGTCACCTTCAAAGGTAGCCCCACGTAGAGCACATTGCAGTAGTCCAAGCAGGAGATATCCAGATGATCTGCAGGAGATAACCAGTAGTCCAAGAAGGATAACCAGATGATCTGCAGTTGCCAGTTTTGCTGGTGAGGTATACGAGGGATTTAAATGTATGGTGTGAATGTGGCGCCAGGGTGGCCAAATTCTCCTTGCCACTTAGCAGGCTGGTACAAGCACCCATGTTCCTCCAAGGTGGGCAAGCTCACCTCAGGATAGATTGGTGGTCTGCATGGCCTCTCCGTCTGGAGAGTTCTGAGGCCTGCGAGAATTATGGCGGCAGGGCCTAATGCTAGAGAATGACCAGGGTGACACGCTTCTGACCCTTCCCTGCTACCTCCTCCTTCTCCACAGTGGCTTTATCACAGACACCATGGCGGAGCTGGACCTCTACACAGAGAACCTGCGCTCCAAGATAGGCCCCTACGCCCAGGATGTGCAGGAGCGCCTGACGACCGAAATGTCGGCCTTGTCCGAGAAGCTGCGGACCGACATGGAGGAGACCAAGGGCAAGGTGGTCCAGTACACCAACGACGCGCGCCTGATGCTCAACCACAACATGGAGGTGCTGCGGTCCCAGTTCAACCTCTACATGCGCAAGATGAAGAAGCGCCTCACGAAGGACGTCGACGACCTGCAGAGGAAGTTCGAAGCCTACAGGGCGGAGGTGCAGACCAGCGCAGACGAGAAGGTGGAAGCCATGCGCCAGAGCCTGGAGCCCTATTTCTCCAAAATCCGCGAGAAGGGGCAGCAGCGTTTCCAGGCCCTGGCGCAGGCCGTCGGCGAGCAAGGGAAGATGGTCCACGAGCAACTCAACAGCCGAGCTCAGGAGTTGAAGGACTCCTTTGACCAGACGGCCGAAAAGGTGCGCGAGTGGTTTGCTCCCTTGGTGGAGGACCTCACCACCCGGATCCAGGCCCTTGTGGAGAAAGTCAAGGAGGCTCAGGCGCAGGTGCAGGCACAGGCAGAGGCCTAAGGCCTGTGCTCCCAGGAAGAGCAACATGGCTGAGCTCCGTTTCTATGGGAACCAAGATGGCTCTCTTTGGCTGGGCAGGCATTGACGGTCCTTGCTGTATACTAACCTCACACCGCACGGCAGGTCCCCCTCCCTGTCCAGCTCTACTTGGCCAGAGTGCTGCCATTTTGGCCAATTAACATTCCACACACTTTTCTCTGGTGACCAGCACTTTCTAGGTCTTCCATTAGTAACCGCTGTTGCACCTGCGAACCACTGACAAGAACAGGGCGCTCTGCCCTGTTTCCCCATTTTAACACCTCACACCCAAGACACTTGTGTCATTCCTTTCACCACAATTTCTTGGCTTTCCTGGTGTTTTTTTCTTTCTTTCTTTCCCATTTTGACCTGTTAACTGAATAAAATGTACTTTGGATACAGGGGTCTCCCTTTCTTGTGATGGAGTTTCATGTCTCATTTTGCATTGCACGACAACAGAGCAGGGGGAACAGGTAAACAGTAATTGAAACGGCATTGGTTATCCCGAATCAGCAGCATACCTTTGCAGCTCCACAGGGAGCATGGAATCATAGAAGGGACCCCTGAGGACCATCTAGTCCAGCCCCCAGCAATGAAGGATGTTTCTGAACACCCAGGTGCAAAAATTCGGGGTTGTTTCTGCTTTGCCAGGTATATTCAAGTGGTTTCTTTCTTTTTGCCCGTCCTGCCACACACAGGCCCAGGCAAAAATGAATGCTATAAAATGATGCACTTGGGAACTTACTGGATTGTAGGCCCTGACAAAATTAGATAGGATGGAGGTTAAAGAAGAAGTAAAGTCTATTGTTTTCTGGGCCTGGAAGAAGGGGCCATCTGAATTGGAGAAGGGGCATAGATCTGATTTGCAGGGAGAAGCTGGCAGTTTCAATCCTTGGTATCTTCAAATAGGGCTGGAAGAGACTCCCGCCTGCTGCTGCCAGTCAGTGTAGACCAGGGGTCAACAACCTTTTTCAGCCGTGGGCCAGTCCACCATCCCTCAGACCATGTGGTGGGCTGGACTATATTTTTTTTGGGGGGGGGTGAACAAATTCCTATGCGGCATAGGCTATACCCCACAAATAATCCAGAGATGCATTTTAAATAAAAGCACACATTCTACTCATGTAAAAACACGCTGATTCCCGGACCGTCCATGGGCCAGATTGAGAAGGCGATTGGGCCGCATCCGGCCCCCGGGCCTTAGGTTGCCTACCCATGATGTAGATAGTACAGTGGTACCTCGGGTTACATACGCTTCAGGTTACAGACTCCGCTAACCCAGAAATACTGCTTCAGGTTAAGAACTTTGCTTCAGGATGAGAAAAAGAAATCGTGCTCCGGCGGCGCAGCAGCAGCGGGAGGCCCCATTAGCTAAAGTGGTGCTTCAGGTTAAGAACAGTTTCAGGTTAAGAATGGACCTCTGGAATGAATTAAGTTCTTAACCCGAGGTACCACTCTATGGAGTTTGATGGACCAATGGTTTGGCTCGGTATGAGGCAGCTTCCCTTCTTCCTGTGTGATGGCCCATAGCCTTCTGTAAAGATGCCAACTTTGATCGCCTGATGGAGTCATGGGGCAGAGTCCAAGGCAGATCGCTACTCAGGTCGCATGGGAAGGCAGGTGTGGTAACATTCCCCACAGCTGCCATGTCGGCAAGTTGCTCTGCCGCTGCCCTCACCTGCCTGCCTGCCTGAGCTCAGCAGAGCATGTGACATGCATCTGTGAAGATATCTTCCACATGTACCTTTGCATGTGTTGGTCAACCTATTTGGGACTGTACAGTTGACCAGAGATGTTGTCTAATGTATTTCTTTTCTTTTTGAAAAGCCCAGCTTCAGTTAAAAACATAATGCTCACCCTGCCAATTTCTGGCACTTGCACAATGAATTCTGGCAACTGTCCCAGAGTAAAAACAATCGGACTCTCTTATTCCTGGTTCATTGGCTGCCCTTTGGCTTTGAACTAGCTGTTCACAACAAGGATAGTACAGTAATCCCTTGGCTACTTACAGTGTGGCAATCCAAGATGGCTGCCCCCACGATCCCTTGGGGAATTGTCCTCCCCTTCACTCATTGCAGCACCAGAGGCTATAAGTGATGACATATTATGCGTATGGGGTGTTAAGGCGAGGGGTAGCACCTCTGGTAGGGACGCGGTGGCGCTGTGGGTTAAACCACAGAGCCTAGGACTTACCAATCAGAAGGTCGGAGGTTCAAATCCCCGCGACGGGGTGAGCTCCCGTTGCTCAGTCCCTGCTCCTGCCAACCTAGCAGTTCGAAAGCACGTCAAAGTGCAAGTAGATAAATAGGTACCGCTCTGGCGAGAAGGTAAACGGCATTTCCATGCGCTGCTCTGGTTCGCCAGAAGCGGCTTAGTCCTGCTGGCCACATGACCCGGAAGCTGTACTCTGGCTCCCTTGGCCAGTAAAGCGAGATGAGCGCCGCAACCCCAGAGTCGGCCACGACTGGACCTAATGGTCAGGGGTTCCTTTAGCACCTCTGGTGGGGGACACATCATGCTCCTTCTGGGGTAGTTTGCCCCCCTTTGGTCCGCACCCTCTATTCAGCCCTCACCTGTGGCTCCTAGAAGCTGTCAGCGGGCGACAGCAGCTACAACTGAGGAACGGATTTGACTGGCCTGCTAAACCAGGTGAGGGTAGCTGCTGGGTCTCAAACCCTCAGTGAGTCAGGGACTTCCCTGGATGCGGTTTGAGCAGATGAGACCAAGAATGGGTCCAATGGTCAAGAAGGCAGTTACTGCACAGGCTGTAGAAGGAAGTGAGGGGCAGATGGGGCTCTTCCACCTAAGAAGGTCACCTATCTAGAAGAAGGAATGCTCAGATCCTAAATCTCCGCTGCCTTGCAGAACATCTTTGGGAGAAGAAACGGCTAAGGAGGAAACCCTACAAAAACCTGGTTTGTAGTCCCTAAGACGGTTGGATGGTGCCTTGTACGCCTCCTTCTGGCAACTCCTGCAGCCCAGCTGGTGCCAGACATCTTGCCCTGCTTTCCTTTAGACCACATCAGCGAGACTGGGAGGGGAGTCTTGTCGTCTGGGCAGCCCCGGACCTCCATCCACACTGCCCAGGATTTCACCCCAAGGGAGTCACTTCGGTGCTGCTAATACAGCGGTTTGACTTCACCCCCGGAGGCACACTCCATTGTCTCTCGAGACAGACAAATGCCAGCAACAGCAGACATGCATGCATACACTCTGAACGATGACAACTTTTCGAATTAACATCGAGAGAGAGAGAAAGAGAGAAGGGGCAATGGTTTACTAGGAACAGGTACCAGAAACTGGGATTTCGCCCTGCGTGTCTCAGAGTGATTGATACGCATGCACATGATACAAAGAGATGGTAATAAGACTTTCAGAGTCAAGCAGAGACATGTCCTTCGAGAGGCAGAACTTGCTTTGGGGAGCATCGTGGCACCAGATCAGCCAGTGGTATCCACAGTACCGTATTTTTCCGTGTATAAGACTAGATTATTTCCCTAAAAAACAATGTCCAGAATTTTGGAGTGTCTTATACATGGGGGCGTCTTATAGGCCGCTCCACTCATTTTCTTAAACCAGAGTCCCCCAAAATAGGGGGCGTCTTATACATGGGGGCGTCTTATAGACAGGAAAGTACAGTATTTAGAAAGTACCTGTGTTTTATTTTAATGCACATTTCTTTGTGGACGGGGTGGAAAAACAAGTCCTTTTTAGGGAAGCTGCCCATGCAGCTTGGCCCAAAGAAGAGAAACAAGTTGGGGCAAGAAGCCGCCAAAGTATGACTGAGAACATAGAAGAATACAAATACAGCCTGCATGACATGAGAATATCCAGCCAGACACAAATGCGGCTCATTGGCCAGATGATGTGTGACAACCATTATCTGCAGCCCTCGAGAGGCGCTGGGGAGGAATCAGGCCTGGCTGGTGACATTTGTTTGGCTTTGTTATGTCCAAGAAAATGATCAAAGGGATCGAGCGACTCTCCACGAGAAAAGGCGGCAGCATTTTTAGCAACATGCTAGAAGTTTATGAAAACCATGCGTGGCACAGAAAACGAGTGGATAGAGGGAGGATTTTTCTCGCTCTTTCGTAGAAAAAAGAAAGAAAGAAAGAAAGAAAGAAAGAAAGAAAGAAGAAATTCCCGCAGGAATTTAATAATAAATAAATAATATCCTTGGAAATCTGCACTTCTCCACATTTTGCAACGTAGTTCTCCAACCAAATAATGCAAAAAAAAAAAAAAAGCATGCATATTTGGGGAGGCACAAAGCCGTCATAAAAATGCACATTATTATTATTGAAAATAGCATACAAGAAACCATTGTATCGGGCAAAGCTGCTTGCAGATAATGTCGATAATAGAAGAACCTTACACTAAACTCTTGGTGATTTTTTAAAAAATGGCAAACATTCCAAAATCTGGGGAACTGTATTTAAACTGGCTGGGGGGTGGGGGATAGAAACTCATATCCAATGTTGAACATAAGAAGAGACCTGCTTGGTCAGGTTGACAGGATATCTAGTTCTCTAGCATTCTGTTCTGACAGTGGCCTTCCAAGTGTCCATGAGAAACCTGCACCTCTCCTGTGGCAGTGAGTTCCACAGTTTAACTGTATGCTGTGTGAGGACTCATTTCCTTCTATCTGTCCCTGCTCCTGCCAACCTAGCAATTCGAAAGCACGTCAAAGTGCAAGTAGATAAATAGGTACCACTCCGGCGGGAACGTAAACGGCCTTTCCGTGCGCTGCTCTGGTTCGCCAGAAGTGGCTTAGTCCTGCTGGCCACATGACTGTACGCTGTACGCCGGCTCCCTCGGCCAGTAAAGCGAGATGAGCGCCGCAACCCCAGAGTCGGCCACAACTGGACCTAATGGTCAGGGGTCCCTTTACCTTTACCTTTAACATGAGGTATGACTGTAGCTTTATTCAACAGGCAGCTTTTCCCAGCACGGAGACAAATGGAAGCTTGAAAAAGCATCCCCTGCTAAAATAATCCCTGCGATAGGCAAAGGAACGAGGAGGAAACAGCAGGGGCCTCAAGACACCTGTGCGTGAGAACTGCCGCAGGGCACTGTGACGTCACTGCCCCGTCCCATCCTGCTGACGCTGAGGCATGCCTGTGGGACTTTGCTCCCTGAGCAAATCCAGACCTCTATGGTTGTGGCAACTTTTCTTCCACGCTCTCTCCAAACTGCGGGGCCCCCGCCAGGCTGACTCTCTTGGAAAGCGATGAGGCTGCACTTTCGAAAAGAGACTTTGTGTTTTGCTTGGGGTTGGCTGGTTACTGATGCAGCTGGTGTTTCGGGAGCTTGCGCAACACGGGCAGAAAACCTGAGCTAGAAATCGGGGGGGGGGGGGGAGGTGTCTTTTTTTAAAAAAAGGTCCAAAGGACAAGAAATGGCTTATTTAAAAATAATAATGGTG